CGTTTTTAGATCAGTTTGGTACATTCACACACCGAACTAACCCAGGATTTAACTCTTATCGTGATCAACCATTTCATTGTTGGTTCTCGTTTTTATATCAGTTTGGTACATTCACACACCGAACTAACCCAGGATTTAACTTTTATCGTGATCAACCATTTCATTGTTGGTTCTCCTTTTTATATCAGTTTGGTACATTCACACACCGAACTAACCCAGGATTTAACTATTATCGTGATCAACCATTTCATTGTTGGTTCTCGTTTTTATATCAGTTTGGTACATTCACACACCGAACTAACCCAGGATTTAACTCTTATCGTGATCAACCATTTTATTGTTGGTTCTCGTTTTTAGATCAGTTTAGTACAGTCATAGACCAAAGTAACTCAGGGTTTATTCCTCTCATGAGTATTTTCTAGCGAAAATGGTTAAAATAAACAAAAATAAAGAGTCAGTTTAAGTCTCGAAGGTACGAGTTTGAACACGACGAAATCCAGGAAAAAGCTTGTCAAAAAACAACAATACATTATTGTAAAAACAGTGCAAGGAAGTGTTTGGAGCAACAAGTTTCAATTTTGGCCTAGTGTTTTCTAATTTATATACTACAGGTAAAGACGTGTGAAACACTTTTATTTATTAGTCATTTCCAACAGTCGGAAGTAGCTTGACTGATACTGTGACTCCTACAGAAAGAATTCTCATGACACAGATAACGTAAACGTACGGGTTCACCACAACTGACGCACGACTAATGTGAGAAGCTGCGGCTCGGAAGATCAGCGGATCCCGGAAAGAACCAATTACTTCAGGCAGTTGGGAACTAGTCCTACCGAAACAATGGAGTGGATCCTCAGTTGAAATTTCAAAATTATCAATTAACTTACGTATGTACTAGTTGTTAGAATTACAAGGAAACCGATCCTCGGTTTAAATATTTTGGTTACGTATAGCAACCATGTTTAATAAATTCAAACCCGAAACGGTCTCCGATATATTAGTTGGTTAATTCACAGTTTCAACATCTTAGTGATAGTTTAACGAAAACCCCAGTGCCTGAACACAACAGTAGGCACTCTTTGTACAAATAAATAAATAAATCGGAAATGAGCGTGATTTTTGCGCTAAATAGTCACACAGGATACGAAACTTACGACCAAAATTTAGGTTTCACTTAAGTTATTTTCTTTTATACAAATAAATATCGTTATCGGTTTGCCAATAGCATTTCATGTTACTTATAAAAAACCTGGTACTAGCAAGTATTAGAGACGTAACCATCAGGTGACCCCGAACATCGTGTTATTGTTTATAAAAACTACTTATCCAATGGCTGTCCGTGAACTATATTTTTGTACACTCACTGTGTCTTACGTTAATGTAACCTAGGTGACCCGAACATCGTGTTATTGTTTATAAAAACTACTTATCCGATGACTGTCCGTGAACTATATTTTTGTATACTCACTATGTCTTACGTTAATGTAACCTAGGTGACCCGAACATCGTGTTATTGTTTATAAAAACTACTTATCTAATGACTGTCCGTGAACTATATTTTTGTACACTTACCATGTCTTACGCTAATGTAACCTACCTGTACATAGAGTCAATGTCCACAAACGCAACAATGACAAATTTATCTTCATCTTTTTCCCGACTAGCCCTGTCAACTTCTCTGTCAAAATCTACCTCTTCGTCTCACAGCAAAAGTTTATAACAAAATGTTCTTTTCCGCCTTTCAGCTTGTAAAGCAATAGTCTACCAATGACTGGATTACCGGCGTCCAGACATCAATACTGCACCAGATAAACCCTCTATACCTGCGCTTTAACGACAAATCACCCGGTCATAAGCTCTTCGAGAATAAGGAATAGACTTCTCACTTCCCCCTCAACCGGTGCACTTCTGGTTACGCCTACCAAGCAGGTACTCCGTCTTAACACTTCACACAACAAACGTTGTGTTGTACCGCGTAAACAATATAGTTCGGCTAAAGAAAATATATTTAATACACAAAAATCTTACTTAAAAATATCTTATTTATATTCCAAACAAAAGAAAGTGCAAAAAATGTATCTTGATATATATATACACACACACACACATAATCAAGATTTTTTTTAACTTTCTTAGGTTTTTGCTGAAGTGTGGATACAAGAAAACGGATTGGAGGACAACTGCTCCCGTAGGAAAGTTCCCCCGGACAACTGACCCCTAAAGCTATATCTTATATTAATATAACTGACTAAAATAGGAAAAAAAACAATACATGTAATTACATTATGTATAGTTCAACATTCTTATTTTATTACAATAAACAAAACTTAACACGAAACCGGTGTTGTTTTTTCTCCTACTTAAACAGTTTTAGATAATTCAGTCTTTTATGAAATACAAGAAATATGTATTATTTTTTCCCTATTTCAGTGAGTTATATTATTATAATAATATACGGCTGTGGGGAGTAGTTGTCCGGGGGGGGGGGAGTGGTCAGGTTACCAAGAAAACGCTAGAGGATACAGCGGATTCTCTTGTTTCGTATTTACTTTCCGTTTTTAGGAGTGGGCTGTTTCTAGTTAAATGTAAATATATATATATATATTCACGCTAGAGGATACAGCGGATTCTCTTGTTTCGTATTTACTTTCCGTTTTTTGGAGTGGGCTGTTTCTAGTTAAATGTAAATATATATATATATATTCACGCTAGAGGATACAGCGGATTCTCTTGTTTCGTATTTACTTTCCGTTTTTAGGAGTGGGCTGTTTCTAGTTAAATGTAAATATATATATATATTCAAATTAACCCATGTTTTACCACCAAAGAGCTTTTAACTTAATTACAACACACACAGACACACATAAATAAATATATATATATTCAGCTTAGCTATCTATTTATTTCACGTGTTTCAGCGGAATTATTTACTATCTTTTTTTATTATTTAAAATGAATTTGTGTAAAATATTTAAAAAATAGTATAATTTAATAAACAGATTTTCAAATGCTTCTCTGGGGGCGAGAATGGCCTTGTTTTTGATATATATTAGAATTGTGAATCCGCGAATTCTTGGTTCGCGTTTAATTGCCACAAAAAGAAACAAACAAAAACACATTTCACACTTTGGAGTCGTGGGTACGTTATGAAAGTGACTGTCAAATCCCCACTACGGGTCTGACAGGAGTTGGAAGTGGAAGGCGCGGACTTGCTACCTTCTCTTTATTCAGAATTAGGGGCGGTTATGAGGACATGTGAAGATAAATATTTATGCTAAACAAAATATTAAACTATGAGTTAAATATATATATATTTTCATTTTTCACGCCAAAATTTTCCAATATAAAAATCCAATGTTATTTTAAAGTACACCTCTATTTCAATTTTTACACTATTTTCTATTAAGATTATTGACTGTCAATTTATACTTATGTAAAAGTAAACGTTATGTTTACCCTTTCTTTACTTTTTCCCATCAATAATCACCGGAATTAAAGATAAAATAGTAACAATAATAAGCTGGAAAATAAAAGTTGAACTTAAATAGCATAGGGAAAAGTAAAAAAATGGCTATAAATTATAACGCTAAACATAAGATATCTTATGATGAAACATATGGAAAGCAATAGTGTTATTGGTAGGATTATTATATGCATTGTACAGAAGAAGCAACACAAGGACATGGTATTAGTTTCGTTAATGTGGCTATTTCTTAACACTGTCCATTTTGACGTACTTAAGTTACGATTAACATGTGCTATATACCGACAGTTGTTTTTATTTTTGAGTTCTTCTTCACGCCGTGGGAAGATGCACACCTGTTTATAGACGTGTGAAAATCCTCCTCATGGCAATAGCTTTTATTGCAGGTACAATATATCAATACTTCCTGGGGAATTTAGGGCCATTTGTTAATATCCACACTTTGTACAACCGATCAAAATACAGTATTTGAGTTCACGTTAATTGAAACATTTTGCGCACGTGGGCTAAACAGCTAAGTCAGAAACTAAATACCCCCCTTCCCTCCACATGTTTCAGGTATAGGCCAGAGACAGCAGCGCCAGCCAGATAACGGGATTGACTTTTACTTTCATAACACACAGATAGCTAAAAGTGCGTAGCTTATTAAAGGGAAACATATTTTGAAACTTGGACCTGTGGATCAGCAGCCTGGAACACTAACCACAGAGTTAGTTTAATTTACTATTTTATTATCAAGGAAATATTTGTGCATTTTTACCTTCATGTTTTCTATATTATAAATACGTGTTCAAAACGCATAAAAACTAAATAAAAAACAACAAAAAAATTAGTTCATAATGCATAATTGATTGTTTTACCAATTACAGTCTCTTTCAATCGTACGTACGATAATTCAACACAAAATTTCAATAATAGGTTGTATCTAAATTTTTCTTTCAACAAATATCGAGTGAATTGTAAATCAATTTAATACGCAAAGAATAAAATTACATTAGATTCGCCAGATAGCCTGAGTTAGGGCGCTTGACTCGCAATCTGAGGATCGCGGGTTCGAATCCCTGATCTAACAAACATGCTCACCCTTTCAGACGTGGGAGTATTATAATGTGACGATCAATCCCGCTATTTGTTGGTAAAAGAGTAGCCCAAGAGTTGGCGGTGGGTTGTGATGAATAGCTGCATTCCCTCTAGTCTTTTATTGATAAATCAGGGACGGCTAGCGCAGATAGCCCTCGTGTAGCTTTGCGCGAAATTCAAAACCAAACCAAGATTTGCCAGACTCATATGTAGAATTCCATTATTTGCTTCGGCTGCTGACAACGAGCTTGAAATCCAATCAGTGCACGCCTCAAACTTTTCTCCCATTTTGATTGGACCAAATATTATGGTACACTTCTAAGAATATCCACCTGTGATAACACACTTGATCTAGTTTCAAATGTCCAATTGTATTCAACAGAAAAGCTTACGTAATTCCTATCAAAAATATGTGTGGATTTTCAAAAAGCATACTGTTATCTCGAATTCTTATTACTCGTTAATCTACTTTAACATTTTCAGGTGATTAACTTATAATAATGATAATAATAAGATGAAAAAAAAGCAAAAGAATTTTCAAGCGTTTTGATCATTATGTCGAAGAGGTAACAGGCCTGTCATTTTATCAGTTTACTATCTTTTATTATTACCGTAATAAAAACCAAACGCTATCTTTATCTGTTTGATATCTTCAACCTTATGGACCCCATGGACCAAACTGTCTGGCCAGAGACTCCGAGGTTAATTTTCATTTATTCTTGGCAGTGATTTTGATTTTAAATATTTTAAGACAATCAGGGGGGAGGGGGTTCAGAAACTATTGTTTCTCTTCGCCCCACTCGCGGAATTAGGATTAATTCTTTTAGTGCATGAGGCAGGTTTTAAGCAAGTGGCAGAGACGTTAAGTAGCTTGGTTGAGATTTACTAGCAAAGTGTTAAGGTTAAGACATTGCTATACTTAATTTAAATGCATTACTCAGCGGCATTTAGTACCTTTGGGGGTATTGCACTGACGTCAAAAGGTCACACAATCTATAGTTTACTCCGCTATATTAGACGTCAGGCTCGATGACGAGGAACCCACTTTGAGACAAATAATGGCTGGAGACGGCTTGAATGGGTAATGAAGAAAAACTTTAATATAAGTTTAACATAACAGCAAATGTAAAACGTTTTGACAAGGTTTTGTCATCATCAGGTACAAGTACTTTACACTGACACGGATATATATATATATACAGTATTGAACAAAGAAGTCACATGACCGGAACTGTTGTGAAACTCAGAAGAGGTATCTTGGCACACCGGGGTGTCGGTTTAGAGTAGGGTTGTTTGTTCAATTAAGATGGATTCCTTGATTTTC